GGCTACAGTTAGCCATTGCCAGGGACTGGCTGGACACTGAGGGGTGGTGGCTGGGTACTGATGAGTGGGCACTAGGAGAAGCGAGGTCAGAGACTGACTTTGAAGAAGGGGTCTGTGATTTGGGGGAGCCTGTAACAGCCAGGAGACGAGAATTCTATTATTCATAAAGGGGCTGTTTTAAATCTCCGTATGTGGAGACTTCTCCTTCACAGTAAGCGGTTTGTCTGAAGCAGGTAGAAGCCTAGCATTACCATGATACACAAATCCACTGACCATTCATCTACAGCCCCCTTAAATGGATTTACTACCAAGAGCCTCTTAATAAAAGCAGACAATGCGTCCCAATTCTTGAAATCAGCACAAATTAATTTCCATTTTATGATTGCAGCATGCATATGAAGGAAAGAATACACCCCACTAGTCAGTGCCCTTGTTTGCACATAACTCTGAGCCAAACCATAGCTTAGCACAAATGAGTAAAAGGTGCAGGACAAACCTTGGTTGCAGCTCATCATTTGCTGGGAGAGAGCTAAACCACAAGCATGCTAAGCCAAATTACAGCTTAGCTTAGAGAAACGCAGCAACAAAATACCTGAGGAGGTGAAAAGCAGCCGGGATCTCCTTTCCACATATTTGTTGGCTCATGCTATGCCATGGTTTGGCTTAGCGTGATGTGTTAACAGGGCCAATATCTCCATTAGCTAACTCTTCAGCAGCTACAATCTTCTGAAAACTCAAGTTGTGTGGTAGATTTCATCAGTGTGCTGGGCAAATTAGTTAAGCTACTGTGAACATAGAACTATTGTTGTGTAATAATGTGCAAATATATGCACAATGCTGTTACTATAGTTGAAATCAATTAAACAAGCACTTATAATGAAGGCAAGTAGGATCTTTGATTTGGAGTGAGGTGGGAGTGGAGTTATGCTACAATAAAAAGGTCATTTTTTCTTTTTAAAAAGGATTTTAAATACAAGGAAGTGCTAGTTCTAATGTTGCAGATGGTGAACATGTATACCGTTCAGAAACAAATGGTAAGCAACAGAAAACAAAAACCTTTCTTACACTCATGTAAAATAGAGATTTTGAAGCTCTGTTTTGTATCTAGAACTTATCTATCATTTTTACACAAAAGGTCTACTTTATATAGCTTGCAATCCTCTAAGCCCTGTTGAATCAGAGTGCCTTTGAAATGTACTGAAGATAAAAATCCAATCTAAGGTTTGTATCCTACTAAGTCAAGAGTTGATCCAGAGAAATCAAATCAATGCACCTAAGTTAGTCAGGATTAACTGATGTCCACTGATTTCCACAGGTCTTCTCTAAGTATGACCTAGTTGGATAAAACCCTGAATCTGTAAATAGGACAGAAAAGTGCACTGCTGAACTCTCAAGTCCATTTTAAAAGACAAATTCTTTTTTGCTCCTTGTTAACTCAGATAGTTGTCAAATACTTTAATGGTGAAAATCACAAGCACAATGATGACATCACAAGCACTAGAGCACAGTACTACTCACACAATAACTGGATGTATACTTGTGAAACATTTTTTATCAGAATATGAGTATTCACTGCACCCTCTTTACATCACCATTCTCTATGGACTCCCATATTCAGTGGTAAGAATATTTTTTTCTACCACATGGTTGTATTGAATGTTTTTTCAAAAGGAGCTGGGATTACAACATTCCTAGTTTTTAATTTATTGATCCACTACTAAAATCCTTGCAATAAAATAATGCAGTCAATTTGAAAAACATCCATTAGCTGGTATAAAATCAGTTAGATTAATAATTTCATCAATGTCCAATATGAAAAAGTAAAATAAAAATGGATGGTGTTAAGAATCATAATGCTTAGTTGCCATCTGAAATTCAAAAAGTCTGCGGAAATCACTGATATGAAGGGAAAGAAACTGAGCAGAGGAAAGAAAACAGCCACAAAGCAAAGGAAGATAATACACTTACACTTACACTCACCCAAAACCAAAACCAAATTGCAGCAATATATTTTAAAGGTCAACTTCTGACCAAACGATATCAATAACAACGTAGAAAATATTAGGGCAGAGTGAGTGTGAGGCATCTCAGCTCCTTCTAATAGCAAAACAAAGCAACAGACACATACACAAATGCATGCCATTAAAAAAGAACTATATTGATAAATACTCAGGATTTAAACATATCAGGAGCACTAAAACCTTCTGTAGATTTTCATGCTCTTGATGGCACGGCTTGTTAAAGTGACTGCATTACTATTCAAATTTGCCAAATCAATCTGATTTCTACTGAATAATTTGCTGGTTTGACTTACGTCATCCATAAAATCAATCAATGAGGATGATGAAGAAGAAAAGGAATCCTATTTTAACGTATAGAGCAGTAAAGAAACAGAAACAGATAGATGAAAACTTCTGTTTTGTGAAAATAACCAGCACCGCCATACTGTTGAGAAATCAAGTGAAGAAAGATTCCAAGTGATTTACATATTATTATTTTTTAGTATACCTTTTGAACAGCTTTTGTTAACTGACTATTATTCTACCAATATTACATAGTAGTTTAATTATATTAAAGACAGTGCAAGGGAACATAGGATTGTTAGAACAATATAGACTTTTTAGGTTTGCTGTACCTTTAGGAGAATTATGTAGATGTGGAATGTGTCATTAATTGTCACAATTTCTTAGTGGCAGGATTTTACTATCCAAACTAACAAAATGTCTGTGGCCATAAACATGGGCTACATTTGTGTGACTGGGCAAGTGACAGCAACAGCTTCCTTTTCCAGCTCCAATTTTTCTTCCACTTGCCCTTGCTTCCTCGCCCCCTCAATCAATTGGGACCTTCACCCCAGTCCATAATCTCATCTGTGTTTAGATCCCAGGTCCCTGCCTTTACTCAGTCGCCTTTGCTTCAGGTATAGTACATTGCTGTGGTCATGTTAGTAAGGTATCCGCCCAATAGTGATAAAGCACAATGTGTAAACCATAGAACAAATCTTGGTTATAGCTCCTGGCTTGCCTGGTGAGAGCTAAACCATAAGCTCATGTTGGGACAACATGCTAAACCAAACTATGGCTGATCTATTTGTGCTTAGCATGGTTTGGCTGAATATAACATGTGATCTTGGCCAATGTGTCTCTTTCGTCCCCAAATTGAGTTCTATTTCTCTGTTGTGCTTACAAGCCCTGTTTCATGCCCAATAAGCATGGGATGCCTTTGTCTGGTGGCACTGTAGCCCATAGATTGCAGCAAAATACTGGGCAAGATTTTGCCCAGTATCTTCTCTGTGTGATAGGCTCATAGGAAAAAGCTGTCCCATGAGCCCTTGCTGCAGAAGGGAGGGGAAAGCCTAAGGCTGCTTCCCCTGGAGCTCACAGTCATTTTGCTTTGAGAGCTTTCTGCCCATCCACCCTCAGGTTAGAGCCTTAACTGAGCAATTTTGGGCTGGAAAGGATTTTTTCTCTCTCAACGTGATTGGCACTTGGTTGGGGTTTTTTCGCCTTTCCCTCGGTGAAATTATGGCTTTCCTTTGTTAGGTGGAAGAATGTTGTTTGTATGAGGGTGGAAATGGCATTGGTCAGGATCAACATTGAATAGAGGGGCCTGAGGGGAGGGGCCTGAGGGGAGGGGCCTGAGGGGAGGATTGACCATGGCAAACCCAAGTGTGGGTTTGGTATTTGCGTGGTTGGAATCTGCACTCTGGTCTGCCAGTGAGACCTTGCTTGCTTGGCTTGCACCACAGCAAGATTCAACACTGGCTGATTCCTGTTGTACAGATTTGGAGCAATCCAAACCCAGCAGATCCATTCCATCAACATGCGGCTTGTGGAATGATGAACTGATCCTGGGACCCAATGCCATGCCAACCCTTGCTGGTGTCAATAAAGATTTGGCCTGATTTTATCCCATCACTATTGTACGGTCTGGTTATTTTGCTGCTCTCATGAGTCAGATAATGCACCTGCCTGGACAAATAATAGTTGTGGTAGTTGTTATAGTTGTGTTAGTCCTGAGCTTTCTAAACCTTTTAAGCACGGCGTCCTTAAATGTAAAGTGTGTAGATTGCTGAGGGCTAAGAATACAAAGAAGCCTAAGAAGAGGTGTCACGCTTGCTGGTGTCACAAAAGCACTATCATCCTCAAACAGGACAAAGCAATGCTATTCTTGCATGCAGTTCCTAAAGTAAAGGGGCATTTGGGTGAAATTTTGCAGGTTGCTTAAACACAATCTATTATCTTGCACTTTGTCTTGGTTTTCTAATCTCATCTGTGCTAAGAAAGCAGTTCAGAAAACAAAGGGAGACAAGAGGTCGCAGTATTTTATGAAACTATTCTGTTCTGTATTTTCCATTCATAACAGAATGAGATAGAAATATTGTTAAAAGTAAGATTTGTACCTAAGTGTTTTATATTGTAGGGCTCTTACTTTATTTGAACAAGGAAGACAATGGAATCCACAATACTTTTCATTTCTATTTTTCTATTATTTCTATTTTTATTTCTATTTCTATTATTTCTATTTTAAGATATGTCCCCTGCTTTCTATGAAATCAGCAACCTAATTATTTTGAAAAATCAGGGACGTGAAAATAAATGCCTAAAATAAATTATCCGAGAAAATAACAGAATCTGGAGGGTTTCTGCCTTACTACGTGTCTGAAGTAAATTTCTGATTTGAACATATGGGAGTTGCAATTAAAAGATCCCTATAGCAATGCATGGAAATAATGCAATAAAAAACAACACAGTATCAAAACCTAAGTATAAGACAAATAATACATGTTCCTTAGAGATCAAAGGCTGAGATGCTATATACATTTACACAGGAGCATGCATCACTGAACTCAAGAGACTTGCTTCTGAATAGACATGATAGGCTTGCACAGTGAATTTCCCCCCAACACATAAGTGTAGTTATTATTTCAAAGAAGTAGTGACCACAAACTGAATATGCACATGACATCAAAATATATAATATATTAGCTGTTTACTTACTTCAAATTGATCCAGAGCAGAGGTAGGCGCATTCAAAAATGCCAAGAAAGAATTCTGTGAGTCTTGGTGCTTTACACCTAGAAAACAGCAGCAAGTCTTTAACCTATAGAAAATGGCCAACTGGGTCATTGTCTATGGGTTGTCCTTCTTGAGTTATCTCAGTTGCTACTCCAAAATGCACCAGCTTGCTCCACAGCTCAGGAAAAGAAAAAGGAAGCAGAGCTGTAACACTCCAAAGTACAACATCATGTCATTTGCAACAAGATCTCAAAATAATTAAGTTTGCATATTAATTTCTTAGCATCTTTTTCTAATCCTCATACTTATAACCATTGCACTTAAAATTCTTAGACCGACATCCTCTGGATACAATGAAGATTTCCAGTACTGGTGCAAGTGCACAACTGGTATACCTCACTGAATCTGAGAACTATTCTCTGGCCTTATATATCAAGAGCTGCTTACAAAATTCTGGCCCCTGCAGCAGCAAAAAAACCTACTAGTACCGTGGCAGTTGAAACATTTTTTTTAAGGATCAGATTGTATAACTAAGGACTCAGCTAGACTGGTAAAGAAAAAGTGTTTTATATGCATTGTATATGCGATATAACACTGTGACACCAGATGGCATTCTGGAGGGACTGTCTTTCCCTACTGGATTTCCCTGTATGAGTTTACAACGTGTTTAACTGAATCACTTCTTTTGCTGTGTCTAGATCCAATCTAAGACAGAGTAAGGTTAAGTTTACAGATTCACGGAGCTATATTGTTTGGTCCGCTTATCTCTCCTTTCACAAATGCAGTTCTTACCACACTCTACCATTAAAGGGATCCACTTCTATCTACTCCTCCAACAAATATAACTTCCTGGGCTTTTTCTTGGGTGGTTTTAAATTTAAACTGAGTGAAACGTTTGTCCAGTGCAACTAGAGTTCCATGGACAATTTTTCAGAGGAGATTCCCCATTATGAAGCTATCCAAACAGTACCGTATTCTACCCTACTACTGATTTGTCACAAGGACTTCACTGTGCCCTTCTGAAAGAACAGCTAATAAGAAGCACCCGTGGGCTTAAATCAGATGTATGTGTAATAACTCAGCTAAGTAAACATGTATTTTGATCATGAAAACTCACCATCATCAATGGGGCAAAAGCACAACAATTAAAATGAATAGGATGATAGTACATGAAGGAATCAACCTTTTCTATCTTAATGTTCAGCCCGATTGTGGTTCAGCCCGGGGGGGGGGGTGACGAAAAATAGGTGCCAGTACACACCACCACCATCCTGCTTGCTCTCCCTGCTCTATCGCTCTCCCCCCCACCTTTGCTGATTCCTCCTCTGTCGCTGTTGCTTCCTGCGGAAGGCACAGCCTCTCAGAGGCACTTTGGTGCAACACTTACAATCGCCAAACCACTTTCCAGGGAAGTACCTGACAATCGTAAAAGTTGCACCAAAGTGCCTCTGCTCTGACGGGACTTTTATGATCGCCAGGCTCGGAAGGCACTCTGGCGATCATAAGGGTCGTGCCAAAGCACCTCTGGGAGCCTGTGCCTGCAGCCGCGGGAAACAGCAGCGATGGAGGAGCAAGCGGTAAAGGTGTGTGGGGAGAGAGGAGCAAGTGAGTCGGGGGGCGGGCAAGCGGTGGCGGCAAGATGGTGGCTGGGGGAAAGAGGTGGTGGTACACTGTGCCAACAGAAAAAAACACTGGTTGCAACCCAGAATGGCACTGGTAAACGATGAAGAGCAAAGTAAACAAACAAACAAACAAACAAACAAACAAACAAACAAACAGAATGATTGTAGGAGCAATCAATAAGACATTTATTTTTGAGAAAATAATTTATAATTTATTTTCCCACTCTGTAAGACTACTCTAGGTGGCTTGTAGCTTAAATCAAAAGAATTGGCACATTTTAAATTATTTCTTCACCATACGATACATAAAATATCTGAGTTGTAACTACTCATTATGCCAGTAACTTTCTATTAAATAGTGATCAACTGCTGTATAGTACAAAAACAAAAGGATTTGGAAAAAAGACTTTATGAACCAAGACAACTGTCCTTCTGTATTTCTATAACAGCTGTGGGTACATCTTATCATGTAAGAGCTATGATGGTATCTTAGAAGCCAGAGTCCATATTCTGTCAGCACACTCTAAGACGCCATTCTTACTTGATAAGATATACCCAACTGCTGTGGAGTGGGTTTTGCCTTCCTTTATTTGGACACCAATTCTCGTACCCTTTTCTGATCGGAGTTCTTCTGTCTCTTTTTTCAGTCTCTCTATTTCTGACAATAGGTCAGAGTTCTTCTTGTCAGATTCCTGTAGTTTGCTTTATACAAATAAAAAGAGAGAGAGATAGATAGAGATCCAATTAGTAAGGGCCATGTTATTTAATCGTTACTTTGAACATATTTTTTCAGCACTGTTCAGTCAAGATCAATGTCAGCCATGTCACACTGTCAGAAGTATAACACAAAACATGGAAGTGAGTGCTACTGTAGCAGGGAACCTTGAAAAAGGAATTAGTGATTGTCTCTGAATATCCTTCGAGTTGGCTCTAGTCTCTGCTTATGAAAAACATTATGAGCAGCAGGCATGGGAATAAATGATCTCTATTTTAAAATACAGCACTGATTATTTTTGGTGGCCATTTCCTAGCAACTGTAATGTTTACTGGTGGAGATGCATGTTCCAATATGCAACTCCAGTAATTAATTCTGGAAATTCTAGTCTAATACTGGCTTGTTAAGCCTTTGGCTACCTTTCAAAAATGCATTAATTGAAACTCGAGTTGGCCATCACCCCTTTATGAAAAATAGCTATTTGGGTTTTGCTATTCGGGTATTACTATTAAAATAGCTATTATGTTAGGAGTCACAGAATACGTTTCATGCCAGTTTCATTGCTGAATTCTGTTATGGGGAAAATTGAATAGAATTCATGCTGCTACTTAGCTGGACTCTTGCTGCTACTTTTAGTTTTCAAAGGCAACTAAAAAGTCTTGCCTGCAACAAGAATTTTATATAAATTATATGACCTGGAGCAGTCAATTTACTAGAAATTATCTGTCTTCAATCATCTCCCTCGATCATTGAATTTCTTAAGTCAACAAAATGGATCGTGATGGAAAAAAGATCGTTCTTCAGAATCCATAAGCCAATCGTGGTAAACTAGCAGAGGAATGCAGTTTATTGCTTTTTTTAAGGTTGTAAAATGCAACATAAATTTTATTTTCAACAAAGATCTTTGAAGCACCTTAAAAAAGCAGATTTTCCAGTAATGATTCAATTAACTACAAATTATAGAAGGATAACTTTTGCTTTTAAGTCAGGCTGCCATGAATAATTGTAGGATTATAGTTTGACAGGCAATATATTTTAGGATTTAACAGTATGTATTTTGTAGAAAATTCTTTGCAAGCTAGAACATTAGAACCACCAATTCTTACCATTCTGTTGCAATATTGCAAGCTTTAACTTTATTTAACTCCTCTTGAATGGCTTGTTTGGCTCGTATTTCTGCATCAAGGGCTGACTGTAGCTCTAACCTTGCAGACATATCCAGTTTTGCAAAACGCCGCATCTTCCAGGGCATGTCCTAAAAAGAAAAGCCGTTTCCTTTTATTTAAGGCATTTCTTACATTTCAATCTTATGGTCTTCCAAAGGAGTCCTGGCAATGCCCCAAATACATTATCTTTCTTTGATCCAAGTAATAAAAAAAGTTGTACTATCTTATTCTTTTATAGGCAATAGCAGTTTTATGAAATATTCCATTTATGCTATAGAATACATTAGCAACAATTAAAATACTTATTCATTGGGGGGGGGGGGTGAATCTATCACAGAGAAAGTTTCCATGCCCTCTCTGACCTCCTCCTTTAAACAAGCTTTAATAAATACAACCTTTACTGTTTAAACTGGGATGTCATGGAATGGGGACTATTGTCCACAACAGTGATTTTAGTCAGTTTGATTATTTAAATGTAATGTTGAAATAACTGTTTTTATATACTGTACACTACCTTGTAACAGATTAAAATCAGTATAGAATTAAATGGATGATCACAGATTCACAGAATCGCAGAGTTGGAAGAGGACCCCAGAAGAAGGTATTAATCACCTTCCTGGCCCAGCCAGCTGTCCTGTCCCTGCCAGTTTTCATCAGCCAAGAGGAGCAAGAGTCCAGAGGGCAAATGGTTGCCCTGACCGATTGAAGCACCTTGTCTGCATCCTCAAGCCTTACTAACTGAAACTCGTCCAGCTAACAGGACTAGACAATTCTCTGGAACACCTTTCAAGATTCATATGCTGTAACTGGTAGCTAATATAACTCACACTAGGCATTTATTTGATGGCACAGGAAATCTTTAAAAAATACACTTAATAATTGCTTACTGTTGCTCTTGCCCCCAAACTGGAGTTCCTCAGGGCCTCTAGTTCTTCAGTCATTTTGGAGGCTAAGGCCTGGAGATAGCCTCGGGCATCCTTTTCATCGCTTACCCTAGTCAAGCATTGAAATAAGATGTAAGAACTTTGGCAAAAGCAAAGGCTAAGTTTTTGCTCTATTGTGACATTTAAGTTAGAGAGATAATGAGGATGTTGAAAAACAGCCAGAACGAGAATTTCATAAAATCAATCATAATTATAGAAAAATAAAGCCCAATTAGTTAAGCTGCAAGCGGAAACAACCCACGTGATGCCCCTCAAGTTTTCTTGGGTGCTGTGGAACTGAATCCTTAACATTTCTAAAAAATAGGCACCAAAGGACATAATGTTCCATGGTCTTGTACAGCTCCCATTCTTTTCAGTGGTGCACAGGTGTATACGGGCAGGTGGTGACCATTGCATATAATGCAATACTCTCATTTTCTATCTTCATTTCATTTATTGTGTTTATATCCCATCTTTCCTCCAAAGAGCTTGAGGTGGGTACATGGTTCTCCTCTCCCTATTTTATTCTCACAACAACCTTGCGAGGTAGGTTAGGCTGGGAGTGAGTCACCCAGAGAGCTTCATGGCTGAATACCAATTCAAACCCTGGTCTCCCAAGTCACAGTCTAACACTCTAATCATTACATCACTCTGGCTCTCCAAAAGTTGACAATGAGTAGTTGTTTTAAAGTAAATGAATAAATGAATTCCGTTTTTTATTATAATTATAATGGGGGGGGGACAGCTGAATAATACATATATATTTTTCAGGAAATTATGATCCTTACAGTTTTTCTAAGCATTCAGGTTGTGAATGCTGAATAAATGTGTGAATGATGGCAGCAATCAGCATGGAATTGGCATAGCTGTAATGAAGGCCAGATGTTTAGGATCATAGCCAAAATCACAAACATGCTCCTTTGAACACATGTAATTGTAGCAACTCACACATTTATGCATTTTTCACACATGTGGGTGCATATGCCTTTTCCTACATGGAGAAGCTGTCTGTGTAGGAAAAGCCACGTGTGAAACAGTTCCTGGGAGGTGTTTAATTACGACCACCATTCCATCTGCTTCCATATTTCAACTGGACGGACCGTTTTACTGGGCAATGAAAGGCCCAAATCTCTCCTGCACACAGAAATCATAAAATGTTCTTTTTAACCAGCCCAAAAGGAAACTGGTATTGAGATCTGTGCAAAAGCTGTATGCATCTTTAGCAACCAGTAGATGGCAATAAGTTCCAATATGCCATTTGTGCAGTTCATTTGCATTGTGTAGAGCTAGGCTGCATTCCTGCAGGAATGGCAGTGCCAGGCTCAGTGTGCTCGGAAAATCTTCCTAATTTTCTCCATGCTTGTTGTTTGGTGCCAGGTCAGTTCATAGACAGACCACCCTCATCCTTCATCTGAACATGAATGGAACCGATCCGAGGAGTATTGCTGAGACCTTAGTGGGTGAGCTGGGTGCAGCTGAACTAATTGATGTGGCACAGCATCACCTCAGACAGCGGGTGCAGGGAATTGCTGTGATTCAAAATGATTCCATTAACCTCACTTGGAAACCTTTCCACCTTGGGTTGGGACTGCCATCTGTTGCCGAGTCAGACTGGGGATACCATTGTTGTAACCAGAGCTTTCTTTCAGCGGGAACTCAGTTCCGGCACCTCTAAGGTGGGTTCCATTGCCATTATAAGAGAGCAAGGGAGGAGATCATAGTGAGTTCCTGTACCCCTTTTTCTAGAAAAATAGCACTGGTTGTAACTGCTGCCCACAAACTGACGAAAGTAGTTTTGGGAGAGACTGAACATTCACACTGAGGCTCTGTCTACTGCTTTTGCATGGGATTTCACAATCTCCATGGCAACCATAGGGCTGTCTCAATTTCCCCTGCCCTGGTTTTAATGTTTGCATGCATGTGTTTTCTTTTCTTGTAAGTTGCTTTGAATTGCATGTGGCAAAAACAAACAAACAACCCAACACCAATATATTTCATAATAATAATTAGCAGGATCGGTTGGAGAATTAATTTCATATCCTGAGTTTTGACAGGTCCAAACAGACTTTTGTAATATTCAAGGTACATTAGATTCTATGTGTACTAAATTTCACCTTTCTGCTAGGGAAGTACCTGAACACATAACCACTTAATTTCCAGTCAGTGAGAGAAAATATATAAACATATTTGCTTTACTGTGTTCCCCTCACCCGGCTTGCATGAGAGACTTTTGCTTATGACAAAGAAGTACTATAAATCATCCAGCTTTGATTCTTTAGTCTTTGCTTCTGTAAAACCAGACCTTCAAGGGTGAAAAATGGACCCTGATCCTTGAGTTTGAATTATGTACATTTATGAAGTGAAGTACATTGCTTGGACCACATCCAGTGTTTCAGAGCCCAACGTGCATTGACTAACCATACTCAAAAGCCAGAGCTATGCCTAAATATGGACAGTAAAGTTATACTGGAAGTGAAAGCACTGTCTAGCTAACAAGGCTTCCCTAAAAAGACTATGTTTATCCATTTTTACTTAATACAAAATTAAATTATACAGCTGCTATGAAAGCAGATAAAAAGGACACAAACATTTAAAAAATGATACTGCCACAAGACACTAACATTAATCAGTGTAAATGATCTGTGGAAATGTTTAGGCACAGATTGTTTTCAGAGTTACATTTTACAAATGGTCCAAAAATGGAAAAACAAATCACTGCAAAAAATTGTTTCCCCCACTAACAGTTCAAACTCATGCCTGCATCTTTATTTCAGAGTACTGTAAAAGACGGGGGATTGAGCTTTGTCAGTATGATAGAAGGGAATATTAGAAACTATTACTTGAAGGCTACTTTTCATTCTGTAGCAATTTTCAAAGGGGCAGCCTCTTAATGTATATGAATAAGTGAACTGCAGTCCCAGAAAGCTTACAGATTTGGTAGTCTTTAAGATGCCACAAGATTCATTTTTTTTATTTTGTGTTTTGAATTTAATTTATAGGATATCAATAAAGAAGGATAATATGCCAATTCTGTGACTAAATACTAGAAAAAAACCTTCCACCACCACCTTTTATTCTATCATATATGAAGCTACTTAGAATTCTACTAGTTGTCACTTGTATTTGAAAATCCAACAACTATACCCGGTGGTGGTTTACACTCCTGAAAAGAGTTGAGTTTTCTGAAGCTTGGAAACAGAACACCAGGGGACTGAAGAATTAAATTCTGTTTGTCCAAAACAGAATGTGCCTTGTTGCATGAGGGACAGTGGCAGACGGGATTAGATGAAGGTTCTTACCACTGGATGATCTCCGTGATCTGGGCTTCCCAGTGCGCTACAGATTCTTTTTTGTCAGCAAGATCTCTCATCTCTTCTTCCAGTTGCCGGTTGCTCATACTTAGTCTCTCATACATGGCTGTTAGCTGAATAGATTTTAAAGACAAGAGGTATGATCTTGGATGGCTTTTCTTGTGTTTCTTGTGAACTTTTAGAATCCATAAATGTGCTCCACTATCCTACGCAGCCTGAGGAGGTATGCTTCTGAATACCAGTGGCTGGAAACCACAGGGAAGTGCTCTTGCGCAATTGGGTTATGCTTGAAGGCTTCCCATAGGCATCTGGTTCGCTACTGTGAGAACAGGATGCTGTACTAGATGGGACACTGGCCTGATTCAGCAGGGCCTTTTTGTGTTCTTATGCTCTGCTGGTTGTGTCCTCATGACATATGTTGCCAGAAGCACCTATATAAAACCAACTACCCCAACCCATAGTATCTATTGTGCAAATGGATCTCCTCAATGGTCTACAAATCACATGCATGGGTGAGTCTCATTGTTGCCTGCGGAATGCAAAAAGTCAAAGCATTCTAGAATTCACAATGGAAAAATCATGCCTGATTTGTGGTTCTCTCTTTAAGCACACATTCCTTTTCTATTATTATTATTATTATTATTATTATTATTATGCCCTTCTGCCACTCTGGGTAGCTTCCAGCACATACAAAAATGTCAAACATTAAAAACTTCCCAATATAGGGCTGGGTTTAGATTTCTTCTAAAAGTTGTGTATTTCTTTTATCTCCTTGACATCTGATGGGAAGGCAGTACACAGCCGAGAAGGCCCTCTAATTTCAGTGAAATTCAGTACCATCTAGTTCAATTATGCATTCCTGGGTTTTGTATGAATTCTATATTTTGATGTTTCCATAGTGCATGACTGGGCGGCTTGTGGCCCTACCAATATTGTTGGACTCCAGCCAGCACAGCCAATAGTAGGGAAGATGGGAGTTGAAATCAAACATCTGGAGGGCTATGGGTTTGCTACTTCTGCCATATTGCATTCCTATTTTCTGAGGTGGAAGCCCTCCTGAGGCACTACTCACATGAAAGGGACAAACAAGGTGGAAGGAGCTGAGGGGGCCACATGTTAGCCATATTCCTGAAGTTGCATGACTTTTCTCAACCCTGATGGGGCAAAACTTCTGAAGTAAGGAGTCTGCTCTCTGTTCCCCATGTTGGAGGAGCCACACACGTCTGGAGAGCTAAATATACTTCCTTTCACCATAATTTCCCCTTCATAAGCACAATGCATGAAGCGGACTATAGTGATCATTTTCTTCCAGCTAAGGCTGTCCAAGGCTTTTTCATGCCAATATAAGGGTTATTCCAAAGTCCTGGTGTAATCTAAGTCCAAAACAGTTTCACACTTTTCTCTTTGTTTCCTTGTTACACATTTGACCCTCACCCATTTGATAAATTTTATTTTATTCTGATCCCTTATTTAATTGTCTTTCATTAGTATTTTTGAACCACCTAATGAAGCAGTCTGTTGTCCATAAATACTTCTGGTATAAGTTTGGATCTGTAATTAACTTTGCATCTTACCAGATAGAAATTACATTTTGGCTCCTAAAGTAATCAGCATGCCAGTGTATCTTAATCTATATTATTCAGTAATTTTGTGGGATCTAATCGGAAATGAATAGAGATATCATCAAATCTAAACTCCCATCATGGGAACATAATTAATTATACTTGAATCAGTATTGGAAGTTATTCACATTTTCCCAGTTATATGCTCCTTTATGAATTTTTCAACTTTGCTCAATTTTTTTAATTTCACCCACAAAACACTTACCTTATCAAGCTCAGCAGAAAGCTTTTTGTTCTCCTCTGTCAAGAGAATCTTCTCCCGTTCATATTTCTGTTTGAACTCTGTTTCAAATTCTTCTCTTTCACTTTGGCTAAGGGATAATACAAAATGCAATAAATCATTAGCATATATGGAAAATAGTACAAATATATGCTTCAGCAGAAATCTTGCAGAACATTAAGGACTGACATATACAGTAACTAAGAAAATATTATACAGTAATCTGCACATCCACTGAAACTGGAATAACATGATTATCTGTTTTGCCTCAGGACAACAAGACAATGTGTTCTGTGTTAGGAGTACGAATTAACCTCTCTTTAATGTGGGACACCAGAGTCCCAGTTAGCAGGCATTTGTCATTCTATTGTAAAAAATACTTAACATTGACCTCTTATTCATTGTCCAAATACAACATATTGGATGAAACCAGTGAAAGCAATGGAACAAGTTAAAGTTGCATTAATTTTTGAAGGCAGGGCTGGAGTTCTCTGGATGACACCCAATCTTGCTTTAATGCTGTGAGAAGGTTTCCACGAATCTCAAACAGTCATAGTTAAGAGTAAACATTATGATTCAATATCCTTATTCATTTTTACAACCCTTTGCAATTCTGAAGCTACTGAAAGAAAGAGTTGCCATATATGGTGCCTGGAACTGCAAAACTCCCATGCATGAAGATTCTCATTAGGTTAATAGAATGGTCCTAATTATGACAAAATCTTATACGTGAAAACATCCATGTGTCAATTTACCAGATACAAAATAAGCCAAGCACTTTCTAACCATCACCACAAGTAACAAATGTACAGTTACCGGATTGGAGAATCCCACAAATGAAAACAAGACACATACATCCCTCCCTAAAGTCCTGTCCTGGCCAAATGCATTGCTAGGGAAGAAAAATGGGAGAGCAAAGAGCAGATACTTCTACGAAGAATGGGGAAGCAGTCCCCAAACTGGCACAAAGATGAGCATGAGCCACTGGCTTTAATTCTAAAATCTGTAAGTGGGAGGTTTATGGAAGGGAATCTGCCCTCCTCCCAGTACTTCCCAGGAAGGCTCTCCAGGACGTGTGCTGGGCCTCCAGCGCCCAGAAGAATGAGACTTTTCAGGGGTCACAGGGGTCTAAAGTGGGAGGAGGCATAGGACTTAGAATGCCGAAAGGTGCTAACACCAAGTAAGGACGTTGGTTCTATACTGTCCACACTGACCAGAAGCAGCTCTCCAGGGTTTCGAGCGGGAGTCCTTCCCAGCCCAACCAGAAACCTCTGCATGCAGATCTGCATGTACTTTAATTTAACTGCAAACTGAATAACTCTCAAGATGACCAAGAGCAGCAAATCATGGGATCCCCAATTTAAAATCTTTATCCATTTGGATCCCTAGTTTGTTTTATATGTTTCAAAATATTATGACTTTTCTATGTGGCCTACTATTTTATCACTCTACATTTATTGAAGTATGCCATATAATAGATGTTGAAAGCCTGCTAGAATCAGTAGGCCTTAAACGCCCATCATAAAGCAAGTCAAGATAGAGCATGCTGGGTTTCCCTGGTAAAACAGGGGATGCTTCTCCATCATATCTTTAACATCTAGTTAGTATAACCATGGTAGATTTCATTGTGGATGTAATGCTTAACCAGACCTGAGGGCAATGGATCAAGGGAGAGGGAATGCTCAGTAATACACTCTGTTTCTAATCTTTCACCATGGTTAAGAGATTTCAGTCATACTGGCCTGCCTTTCACATCAGGCTAAGTCAAACCATTGCTTAAAGTGAATGAGCAGGCATGTGAAGCAATATGGCTAATATGACCCAATACGCCCACTCACACATACAAACAAACCACACTGCAACCAACCGAACATACCAACCTCTCATCTCTCACACAACATACATACATACATACATAGCCTACTCACATCATGCTGACAAAAAAGACCTCACACAAACAATATACAACAGAAAGAAGGATCACTATCCCCCCTTTTCCCCAATTGCGTAATTTCTATGACAGCAGTGTCTCACACCAAATGTAACTGAACTGTGAAAAAGATTTTATGAGCTGAAAACGGAGACACTATATGCACTCTTGTTATACAAGTAAATCTGTAATAAATTTTTTTTTAAGTGAATGAGCATACATGGAGAGGAAATTGTGGTTGTTTTTCTTCTCACTGGTTGTTTTGTTGAGCTAAGCTACAGTTTAGCTTACGGAGCTACCCAGACCTGGGGTAAGTGGTTTAGTTCTGTCCATACAAACCATGGGCTATAACTGAAATTTTTCCTACAGTTTCCCATTTGTGGTCTGCATTGAGAGAGCTAAACCATGAACCTGGGTTCAGATGACACACTAAGCTTAGATCAGCGAAGTGCAGCACTAGAACGACCAAGAAGGAACAATGCAGATCCAATATTTCCAGGATCCTGCATGTTTGCTTATTTGTGCTAAGCTATTGTTTGGCTTAGTGTTACATATGAATGAGGGCTATGTTGGCACAATGTCTTGGTGATAGAATTTAGTCAATATTTCTTACAGTTCAGCAAAACTAGCCACCAATGTTTATCAGCCAGCATTTGAGCCATGACAATAGTACTCAGTAAGAGTATTTTTGGTTTGAATTTCCTATTTCTAATTTGAAATTCATTTACTGTTTCAATAAGACTTTGAAATATAGCACAGGAATATCAGACCCAGCTCTGAATTTGTGTGTTGCTAGGCATCATTTGAAACATAACACTTCATTCTAACAATGTAGCATATTAATCACTACTGTTTAAACTCTAATTCTGTAATCCAACACCACCCATCCCTCTCCCCAACCAACAGATTCCATGCATATGAAGAACAATCTGGGAGAAAGCCAAAAAAGATTAAAGCATTAACTATCAGGGGAATGGATAATGGGTCTCACAGCTATGTGGGAGACATGGGTTTAAGGCTAACTTCTCAGGCAACAGGTCAGAGTCTTTAATTAAGCATTTGGTTGCATTTTGTCTTAGTTTATATGCACTTAGTACTTTTTGTGCTTCTAGTATTGGTGGTTTCATTCACAGCTTGTGAAGTAGCTTTAAATTTGCATCTGATGCAATATGAGAAGATGGGGGAAATGCAGTACGAAGCTTTTATGTTAAACCACTTTGGTGGTAGCCTTAGAAATCTGATGTGCTGCAAGTCTCAGCTGAGACTGCAGTGGAAAACAGCTCTCCTGAAAGAAACAAGACCAGTAAATAATGGAACACAGGGAAAAGTCAGAGGTAGTTTAGAATGCTAGCTCAGAGCTAAGCAAACATAAACTTTAGAGCCACAGTGAAGAGTATTTGTTCTTTCTAGTCTCTGAAACACTTCTCCCCTGTCCATACACTTCAGTTGTCTTTTGGCTCAAGAACTGTAGAAAATGTGAAGCAGAAACCAGAGCGTGGTTAAATATTTCAGACTGCAGTCAAAGCACACTATGGTCTCATTGGGCCTTACCTGTAAGTAACCATTCATAGGATCAGGCTCCAAGTATCACAAAAATCAGTGGAAATTTAAACACGCATACTAAGTTGCACCAGTGAATGTGTACTAGGTCAATACTTTGTAAAAAAAAAGAGGGAAAACAGTAAGTTCCAGTTCTATATATATTTATGAGAAGTTACATGTTCAGGCATTTGTCTGAACACATAAACTCTGCATCCATGGATGGGGAAATGCACATTTGTTTATTCAAACAAATGTCTGAACATGCCTATGGTGTCATCATTTAAAGATATATTTTCACAGTGGAAGGAGAATACAGATGATGTCCTTTTGTAATTCTGAAATAATGATGCGTAAAACTGATCAGTACTCCCCTTGCAGTATATTCAGTTTTTAAAAGAATACTCAAAATTGTTCTAGGCACTCCTTGAAAATATCAGTAGATGTCACCATGCACTGTATCATGTGAGGCAGCCCTTTGTTTTTAAATGAAGGCTAAGTTAAGCAGGGTAACCAATACAAAAAAAATTCATAAACTCAAAACAAGGTAGGCTATGATGCATGAAACTGCCAATATTTTAGTGACTCCCCCTGGGAACATAAACTGGAACATAAATAGGCTTTTTCAATACATTTTAGAATCAACAGGAAAGCAACAATCTAACTAACTTGCTTTAGTTCCTTGCAAAACCATGGAATAAGATGAAATAAAAGTACTCCTGCTCATTCACTGAGGTATTCAACTTGCTTTTTGAAAGAATTTAAAATTAGTGTTGTCACACAGCCTATCCTGCCTACATGTTATTTTGATAAAGGACGTTTTCGGCATATTGTTTTGTTTCCTATTTCTCACAATGACCCCATTTGGCAATTTTATCTCACATGCTTCCCGACTTCTTTTACGTAACTTCCTTTCCACTCTTTATATTGCCCAAGAAGGTTTTTTTAAAAAGCACACTATAAAAAGCCCTAACATACAATTATAAAATCACAATAGTACGTTTGGAACAGAACTAAAATAGCAAAACAGAACAGCAGCAGAAACCACAACACAACCCATTGAGAATATGAACTGCAACATCCTTTAACATTAAAGGCACCTCAAAGAGTAAGGGGAAAACTAGAGAAAGGCCAGTAGCTAGGTTGATGCCAACTACTCTAGTGTTGCTTCCACATCTAAGGTATATTAACTAGTGCAGGTGCTGATTGTCTACATGCAGTGGGATAGTGGAATCAAGCTGCAAACCCACCTGACATCTACAAGCTGGAAGTCTCAATCAAAAGTAGCCCACGTGCATGTAATGCAGTACACACAGGTCTGATCTAGACCCCTGCAAACTGGGAGGATTACATCTGCACATGTCAACTCCATGCATATAGGCCTCTATTTAAACACAACCTCAAATCCCAAGGGCAAGGTCAGAGGGCACAATCTCAAACCTCCACTGAAGGTAGAGACTGTTTGCACAGGGCTTAAATGAGCAATGAAAAGAGTTTGCAGCTTCTTTTCCAGAAATGGGTTGTGTAAGGTACACGTGTGGCATAAAGCTTTTATTATTTCCTTGCTTGGAAATGCTCTACATAACTCATTCATGGCTTTGACAATCATGGGCAGGTAATACAGCTAATAAAACTATTCTATCACATCAAAAATGTAGCTCTGACAACTATTTGTTTTATGGTTTTCAGGTGTGTGTGCTTTAAAAAAAAATACTGAAGCACGTTTTGTCTTTTTCAGTAATTCAGCTTGATAAGACCCACAGATGCTTCACCTATTCCTTCAGTCCTATTATTCAATATTACAGTACCAAAGCAGCCCTATTCATATTTGTTTATGAAATAAAAACAAGTGAATGAAGAATGATTTGCCTTTTAACACAATGATGTTTTCTTAAGCACTACTTGCTTTACGACTTTTCAGGTTGGTGGTAATAGATTCAAACTACTGAATTCCAAATGTCTTACTAAAGCTATCTATTTTGATTTTTAAAGCCTGACCTACTGCAGGAATTTTAAGGCTGCCATAGAAAAAAATCAGCAAGGGGAATGGTTTATGTTATATGGAGCAGAAATATTCTTAAATGAGGGAACACCAACCCCACATTGTTTGTGTGGGGGGACACCTAAATTGTGAAGAGAATGTTATGTCCTAAAACAGTAGGGAATGTATGGTCCCCAGGTGTTGCTCAACCACAACTCTCATCGGTCACAACTATAATGGCCTATGGTCAGGTCAGGGTTGATGGGAGTTATAGTCCAACTACTTCAAGAGGGTCACAGGTTTCCATCCCCACCTGTAGTTGTATCAGGTTATCTAAAAGAGAATACAGCATGAAACACACACACACACACACACACACACACCCCTCTGATACTTTTATCATCTTCTGCACCTCATTGGTAAACGAGAAACTGCAACTGTACCATGCATGGGGAAACTCAAGGATCCTACATTTTCCATGTAGGTATTTCAGAACCCTAAATACATATAAATTATCGAGATAGCCCATCACAAATGTCTACTCATACCTTGCTACATCTGGAAGTGGGAAAGGATGAGCCAATTGTTTCAACTCTCAAGCCCGCTCTACTGACCCAACCATACACCAAACATTTTCATGAAATGACAGAAGGAACCTGTGTAACACAGGGGAATGCTAGCAGATGAAACAGGGGAAAGTTGTGTGGCTGTTAATGTAGCAGCCTCATCTGGTTTTTGAAAGCAAGCTACAGCCCTTTTACAATTTGCAAAGCTACAATTAGATCAACAGGAAAGGGCTCAGTTGATGCTTTTAGCAACAGCTCTCACACATGTCTCCCCAAAAAAAGTCAAAGGAAGAAAAGAATGATAAAACTCGAGCCAGGTGGGTGGGTAGCTTACTATGTTAATAGTATCTTCAAAACCTCACAAAAGAAAATTGCATGGCAGTGCACCATATTTTCCTAAAAAAGGGGCAGCTATCCTGCAAGTTTCTTATTTTCATTCACAGAAAAAGGAAAACACACGTCTGCTTACCAGTACCATCTTACGTAATCTTTTTACTGTGTCCTGAGAGCAAGTGACACACATAAAGTTGCAGCTTATCATTATATTTAGTTTCCTGCTTGGGTACTGCACTGATCTTTATTTTTGTCCTTCTGATCATGTATGGGCTACACCTTTTAAAACCCGGGAATCTCCTGTTAATATGAGGCAACGGTAACATACAATTATAAGATACTTGAACATTTTATGAGCCAGTAAGTTTGTTACTGATAAATACAATTGAGGGGCATTCTCAGTGCCACTTCTTTCTACCATGGTAGAGAGAGAAAACAAACCACCCTGTCAGAACAGATAAAGAAGGCTTGTGTCTAGAGTGGATTGATGACGAATGTTAGCACTGGATGAAGTCTGGAGCAGAAAAGCCTCAGGACACCTTAAGTGACACTTCTTGTGCTAGCAGATATAAGCAGTACCTTAACTCTGACATATTACTTGTTCACGTCAAAGACAAGCAACGCATTCAAGAGGGGTAGGGGAGAGAAAGAGCAAAGCAAAACAACAAAGCAGATTTACAACTTTGGGACCCCCTGGTTGTGTCAATGTTCATAACTCCAGTATACCGAGTTTGAACAAAGAGGCCAGGCATTTTAAGAATTCTCACCATGTGAAATGAATCACTCAAGAGGGCAAAATGCAAGATTCTACCTGGCCTCTCAATTCTAACCTGCATTTCTCTTGATCTGAAAAAGAAGTAAAGTGCTGCTCACCTCCTCACCTCCACCAATTTTCTCACTTTCTGAAGCAGATTGTGCTGCAGGTCAATGGGAAACTATATACTTAATGAGGTGGGTTCTTTACTTTCTCAAGTTTCCCTTATCCAACTGCCTCATAAAGCAAGCTCTGTATTATTCCAGTGGATTATGATATGTTGAGATGGGTGGGAATACATAGACTGCGTTATTATTTCACCAAAAATTAAATAATAAAGGTACAATGAGTGAAATGTCAGCTTCAACCATCTCACTATGTCATTGTGAGAATGTAATGAAATGATTCCATGTACATCATGCAGATGTAACTAATATATATCAAAACTTGCCTGCTGCAACACGTGAAGGACAAACAATGGAGATTGTTTATGAACACTATCCATCAAAATAGTACTGCCACTCTAATATAAAGCTTATGCTCAAGCCACCAGTTTTAATTACTTATCAATTACTTATTCCTCCTAATGTTTAGTTGGAAATAGTTTCTACCAGATTTGCTTAGTACTGCAGGTTAGGTACACTTCAGAATCTAAAATAGACTTTTTGTTGCCTCAAAGTTAAACAAAGTTGAACATTTACATACAGTCAGTGTAAGTATGGTGAAGTACCACATATCCTGAATGTAACTATTGTATCTGATTTGCCACAGTGGCATCGGTTTTGCAAAAATCTTGCAGAGATTCATGCACAGACATTGGGTTTTGCAAATGGACATGTAATCAAGCAGCAAAATAACTGGGTTATGCATACCTTTCTCTCCTTGTCTTTTCTAACTTGTCTTTCAAGATTAGGATCTCTTTTTTGAGAGCAAGTTGTTGGCTTTCTGCATCACGCAGTTCCTTCTTCAAATTTTTTATTTCATTACAATGTATTAGTTCTCGTTTAGATATCTCTTCTTCATAAAAAACGCTTTTCTTCTCCAAGTCAGATTTTAATTTTGTGATCTCTTGTTGATGTTCTGTGCTGCTCACCCCTGGGGAGCGACCAATTTGTTTTTGCTATTAAAAAAAGGGGACATCTCATAATTAGCTTCCATGATTAGTCTTCATTGCAGAACTATGAAAGTATGAGCTTAGAAATACCTCAATCTAGTGGGGGGGGGGGGAGAGAGAAACTCATTTAAGTGAAAGTACAACTAACTGCAATTACAATTTTACATCAATATCCAAGTTGTTTTGAAATCAATGTCAAACTAAAGTAACAGCCAGCAAAGACACCCTATACTGTATCAAGCAATAGATTGGTAAACGTAACATGAATCCGTGGGCTTTAACAGTATTGCAGTGAAAACCTATGCATATATACTCAGAAGTGAACCCCACAGCATTTAATGGGTCATACTCTTAAGGAAAGCATTCATATGAGTGAAGCCTTAATTGTCTCCTGTCATTTCAGCATTCTGTTCAAGTACAGATTGAAAATACTAACATTTTTTTTAAAAACAGTACACTGAATTTCTTATATTTAAAAGCACAATTCTACTTCAGGATATGCTTTTCTGCCTTACAATATATAAATGGCTGTAGATGGCATACCAGCCAAAGCTGGTAAAAGGTGCTCCAAGCCATGACTACTACTTGGGTCTCCCTACTCTTTCAGAGTGAGTGTAGCCTCATCCAGTCAGGAAACTGGTCTATCTCCCAGACACAAGAACCTCTCACCCACAGGGTCTCCTGCTTAACAGGGTTTGTTTCATTGGCCCTTATCTAGCCACTTTGTCCAGGCATCAGTTCTCAGCATGCATGGCCACTCCCAATTCAGGTGTTACGGATGACAATTCACTCCAAACAAGGCCTACTCTCAATAGCTTCATATAGATGTTAAACAGCATTGGGGACAGAATTATGTCCTGTGGAACCCCAAAGCAAGGAACTTGAGAAGCACCCCCCCTAATGCTACTTTTTGGAATTGACCCTGCAGATAGGAACAGAACCACAGAAACACAGGGGCACTGATATAAATCCAACACAGTTGATCCATGAGCATACCACAGTCAATGGTGTCATGAAGGTGATACGTGGAAGGAGCAAGGTTGCACTCTGCTTGTCCCTTTTTTTATAAAAGTGGCAATGAAAGCCCATTCAGTCCCCCAATGAGGCCTGAACTCAAGACTGAAATGGATTCAGATAAATCATTATTATCCAACTATGTCTGCAATCACCATGTCACAACCCTCTAAAGCACATTCACCCCAAAAAGGTTTATTTGTGGCCAGGGGGTAATAAACTACTAGGACAGAACAGTCTTTCTTAGGAGAGGCAGACTACTGCCTCATCAAGTGCAGTCATCATGACTTCATGCAATGGTACTGTCACCTACAGCCCCCTAGGCTAGCTTTAATTAGCCATGAATGGTTTGGGTAGAGTGGGCATGTCATCAGTTGTAAAGATGCAAGTTCCTTGTCCACGTCATCAAGCCGCATCAACTGAAACTGATCCCACAAAACTGACCTGGGTGTGGCACAGGATGCCTCAATGGGGACAGCATAATAATGGCATCAAGAAGGTGAAGGCGACTGATTTTGCTTGCCAAATAGGTTATAACAGGCCTGATAAGACAGGTGTTAATGACAGCTCTGCTGTGCGGCTATCTGAGGATGCAGCAGAGGCAGCAAAATACGCATTCTCCCCTGCCTGCACTGCCATGTTGTATGTACGATTATATGCTCTAACCTCTCTTCGGCCACCTTTGGAGTGAGACAGTCGCAATCTGCACTCTAGTCGTTATCTGGCCTGTTTCATTGACTACAGTTCCCATAAATACCAAAGAGAAGCATGGAATCTGCAATGTCAGAGAGGACACTCAGAAATTATCATGTCCATGGTCCACCTCATCTTGCCATCCCATAGCAAGACAAAGTTCCCAACAAAATCCCCCGTTTGATCCACTGGAAAATGGCTTATAACATTTAAGAATCCCTTGCTTTCCATTAGTCTCTAAATGCACACTATTCTAGTTACAACTGGGAACCTTTGCATTAGAAGAAACAAACTAGTAACATTTCTTGGGATTCTCTAACCTTTCATATTACATGTAAATGAGGTGATTGAGGAAAAGAGTTTGTACTAATGTGCTGGAAGTACATTGAAGCAAGCATTCGAAAGTTTTTGTTTTTCCCTCCATAACTAGATACAATAATATACACTACTAACTTGCATTCCTCTTTATTCTGTGTCTGACAGTGATCTATCAGATCTAATATGTGGCTATTCCATTTTAAAATGATGAAGTTAACAAAGACTGACCTTTAGTCCTTCTAACTCATTTTCCAGCTGCTTAGAGTACTGCTCACTTCGCTCACGCAATTTCCTGTCCTTGGATGCCTCAGCAGCTGCAGCTTCAGCATGAACTTCCAGCTACAAAAATATTTTTTAAAAAATCATAACCACTGTTTTGAACGTTGGTTTCTTTTATAATGCACAGAAAAAGAACTCATGTTTCTTAGTATTCTGTCCTCAACTGTGACCTGTTTCGGATGGTTAGGCAGAAGCCAAGGGCAATGAACTTCCCAAACCACCCTGACTTTCAGTAAGTCCCGCTGACATCAGCTGGAATAAGGGTGCTTAGATTGTACACTAACAGTTCTATACATGTCTACTCACTGAACTCCCGCTAAGTTCAATGAAGCTTACTCAGGTAAGTAGGTAAGCAACTGCAGTGTATTATTCATTCCTATTTTTAGCCTCCAACTTCTGGAAAGGAGTCATATTACAATGCAGCTGTGTTGTCTAGCAATCTTCACTCAGAGCTGCAAATACTTCTATTCTCTGTTATTAAATAATCATCGTTTTGTTGTTTTGCCATTACATACAAAAGCATGGCTAATTCATTTACATACATCAATAATTAAATATTATTAATAAATAGTAAAACAGATCATATAATCAGACACGCTGCAATCCTATACACATTTACCTGGGTACAAGTCTCACTGGACTAAATAAGGCTTACATCTAAGTAAACATGTATATGATTGCACTCTTAAAATTGCAAACGAATATTGTATCTATTCACAACAGATAAAATGGATTCCTGATACCTGACTTTATTCTGTATTTTTTTCACAAAATGAAATAAAAAGCATTGATACATTATCATCAGCTTATTCAATGATATTGGCAGTATTCCATTAAATAAATGTGTAAGCGAAATAACCTCTGCTTGTCCAACAAGACATCCCCCCCGCCCCCCAACACCATGACCACATCTGCTCTGGAGGTTTGGGGAAAAACCCGGAAGAAATTTAGGGGGCATGGAGAGGGGGAAGCAGAGAGAGAAGTATTGTTACAGAAGCAGAAGTCATTCTGCTCATGCAAATATTGAATGCAACCCTTCATCTTCCCTCCATTAACGTTACCTAGCTTGCAAATTTATACTGAGATACTCAATTTTTAAAAAATATCTTCCAGACTTTATAAAGCCAGACTGAAAAAATGGAACACTCTGAAAATATACTGAAGCTACTGCAGAGAATTACAAACAAATAGCAAAAGTAAATTATTTGTCAACTATTATTCCATGTCAACAAAATTCACTGGGAAATAGGCTTTATTTTGGTCAACCTTCCTTGTAGTTACTATCCCAAAAGTGACTTACTTCCTTTTTCATTCTGTCTGTTCTGCGTAGGTCTTGCCTCAAGCTTTCTACTTTTTGCATCACCACTTCCATCTCTTCTTCCTTATCTCTGACTTGACGAGTAAGTTTCTGTTTTTGTGAATGCAAGTCAGTAAGACGCTCATTCATCTCGGAGAATTCCTGCATAGCCAGTTTCCGTTGGCTGTGTGCATCTTTCAGCTCTTTGGTTTGGGCCTTTAATCTTTCACTAGACTCAATTAGTTCCTGCAGTCAAAAGCAAAAGATAAAATATCCATGAATTTTAGAATTCGGCCACTAGATGGGTTGCAGAATTAATATAAACAAGTATCAGTTGCCCACTTCCCATCCCCAAACAAGAGATTCTGTACAGAATCTTTAACAAGTGTTTTAACAAGCAAAAAAGGTTCCACAAAAATGCTAGCATTCATTGGAACTTCATAACCAAATTTGATTTGGTTATGATTGGTTATAATTCAGCTAATTATATGTAGCTATGGCCAAAGTCAAACCTTTCCATCACTAGCTCACTTTCATTATGTTCCCCACACTCCTATCTTAGTCTCTATCTTGTCTTTAACTGCTAGTTCAGAAAAACTGACTCTCAAAGACAGATTATATTGGCAGGACCAGTCACCACCCTCTTTTGTCATGGAAATTAATATAGCCTTGTCTTCTTTGCTCTGGGCTAAGGAGATCATGGATATGCCAGATCACAAGATCTACCGCTTCCTAATTCAATCAGGTGAAACACCCTGCCACTCATTAACGGGGCCCTTATACCAACTAACTAAACCGAAGATGGAATACCTGCACCTTTGACCCAAAGCAAATTTCCTCTCACTCATCATGCTGTTGATTTGGTTAGATGTGCTCATTTATGGGGTTGCTCTATCAGACCCACAGCAACCTGTCCTCTGGCAAGAATAAAACCAGGACTGCTATGGGAAGAGGTTCTCCTGGCACTAGAGCAAATCCCCGCTCCCTCCCAGTTGTTTATGTACCAGAAGGTATTACTTCATGAGCACACATTTGGCAATGCTTACAACGCTCTTTAAATAATAACCATTTCATAAATAGCATTCAGATTGATATGTTTATACAGTGTGATATTTTCCCCCTGTATACCTATGTTAAGACCATTTAAATCTCAAGTAAAGTGTTCCTCAAGTGAAGTGGGTGCAAGCGTTGTCTTTAAATAAAAGCACAGATGAAATCATTTTTACCTTATTAAGATCATCCCTTTCTTGCTTTAGTGCTTTGATTTGCTTCTCAAATGTTTTGATGTGTCTAGAAGCATCTTCTAATTCTCGCCTTGCAGAACTGGCCTCTTCAAGCTGCTGCTCCAGTCGTCCAGAATCTAGGAAAGAAAATTATTGTTAAACATCACAGGGTAAAATATAATACTTACTGCTATACAATAGCAAATAGCCAATTAAGACCCCAAGGCTAAATCCAGCCCTCTGAGGAGTACCTGTTGAACAATTAGTTGCCAACTACAAAGCAAGAGAGATATGTGTGGGGTGTTATTTACAGCAACAGGGCTTCCTAGCTCTAGGGACAACTTCCATCTCTGTTTCAAACTGTCCCTTCTGTAAAATAAGTTGCTGATGAGGCTCCACATTTAGTTATGTATCTCAACATTTGCACATATCAAAACCAGAGTTTCTTTAAGGTCCACTTTCCTATACTGATGTTACTAATTTGCTTGTTGCTGGATAGAAAACAGTGAGCTAGTGTGAAAATTTGCCTAGGTAGGCAACAAAATATCGTGACAGCTGGTTGCTCTCAACCTGTCTTAAACCTGTTCGTTTCCAAGCATTTTATTGAACTTTCAGGGCAGCCTTTAAAAAGTTAAGCACATTAAAACAGATATAAATAATAGAATTACATGTCAGGGTAGACTTGCCTAAACAAGCCCTGAAAACGGTGAAAGTGCCTGTCTAATTTTAATGAACAGCAAGTTCTAGAGAGTAGATGCTGCCACACACAACTTCCTTTACCACCACTTTACCAGCATCATCCTTGTTCTATCAAGTTGACAGATAGCTATCAATTTTTTGTGATCATGCACAGCAGACTGACCATATTCAATTCCCATCCCCAAATTTCTTTTTTTGATGAGAAATAAGAAAAAAAGAAGCAACAGCTACATAGAATAATGTCTTACTCTGCATTTCTAAATGTTCCCTGAATTGTACTATGCATAATGTCAAAGCTAATTATTTCTGTAATGAGAAAGAAAAAGTACTAAGAAGTCGTTGTCTGGAAGATTTTGCCTTTTTAATGGAAAGAGACAGGAAGACAGAAACAAGAAAACATGGCCACACATCTCACTTGGACTTGAATAATCCATATGTGCTAACCCCAGAGAGGAACCTAATACAGAAAAGAACACACAACCAGAAATAAATCTGCTGTATGCAGCCACAACCATGACAGACAGAAGCACTGAACCAGCCAGAAGTACAACAACACTCTGCTCTCAGGGACAAAGTCTAACTGTTTCAACATATCTTAATTCCAAGGAAATGGAACTCCAGGTTCAGCATAGTAATTTTAAGATCAGATTTTTAAAAAACCCTTCACTGTTTAAATTTTCAACTTTAGCTGATTGCCAGAAATAGTATGCAGTTTTATGATGTATAATCACAACATGAAATGCCATGACAATTCAAATCAAACAGCAGGATGTTCTGTATTTTTGTTTGTGTTTTTAAACAAAACTACCAAAAATATTGAATTACTAAAGGCAATCTTGTTGATCATATTCACATTACATTCATATAGCTTGCTTTATTTCTAATGCTAACACCATTGGACTAGATGACCCTTGGGTCCTTTCTAGCTCTAAGATTCTATGATTTGTGTTTGCATGTCCTGTTAGGTTTATTGCATCTGCAACTACTGAAGAAACATATTCCTGAAAGCTTTTATTCAAAGAAAACCCTGTAAACCACCTTAAAAGCAAACATGCATTTCAAAAATGCATTTAAAATATCTCAGCTATGTCACAAAATGTCATAAAAATCCATCCAAAATAATTTCAATCAGACTTAAGTTTGCAACCAGCTTTCTCTAGTCTAGAACCCCAACACTGACTTAATCTTTTTCACCAACATGGTTCTGAAAGAGCAGCAATTGTACACAAAACTAGTGCTGCATAAATTCTCAACTCTTCTTTTAATAAGTTGAGAAAGCTTCAACGACAGCTGTATCTCAATGGCAGAAATGATTAACTCTCCGCTGAAGTCACCAGCACACGAAATTGATATACTGTTAAAGAGAGCCAAAATAAATCTCTCTTTCACGTGTAAATTACTTTGCTCTCTTGTCTACTCTTTCCCTTACATTTTTTCTCTATATTAAAGATTCCTCAAAATTTTCTCCTATGTAACTTAGATAACTAAATATTATAACTTCGACCTCAAAAACTAAAAGCATATGCTAGGCTATCATTGCTTGGAATGATGGGGAGAGAAAAATGCCATAATTTACTAAGACTACTGCTGAGCAGAACTCCAGTGTGAAACACTTCAACTCTTATTTTCACTAAAAGTGTTCTTAAGCAGGCATTCAATAAAGAAACAAAATTAAAATCCAGATTCAGGGTCTATTATCTAGTGATAAGCTATTTCCCATTCAGTCTTCCTGTTCTAGGTTAACAGCTGTAGTTCTACACAAAAGCAGCTGTATCACTATATAACAACGGTTCTCAAACCATGACCACCACAGCATGCTGGTGAGTCTTAGTAGGTTGCCAGTCCTATATACTCTTCAGGAGTAAACTGAACACAGTAGAACTAAGCTCTGAACAAATATGCACAGCATCAGGCTGCCTGTGAAGGATTCCCGGGACCCATTGTAGGATCCAATGTCTTGTTTCTGATCTGTACAAGCATAAGATTAAATGACTCTGAACCACACTCTGGGGCCCCACAATAAGAGATGCAATCTGAGAACAGATTAGTAACAGGAGAAATAGCACTGGAAAATGGAAAGGAAAAAAAGAGTGGTTTTATAACACCTTTTTATACTCCAATATCCTTACAGATACAAAGAAACGTATTTTACAGTATGGGTAATTCTTTAGTGACCAATGTAACATTTGTAAGCTTCTTTACACACACACATATATATAAAACATTAGGCACAGCACATAATATTTACTCTGATAAACATTAAACTGTTTGTTAGCTGCCTTGATTTGCCCTACAAAAATAATCAAGTAATATGCCACAGATAGTTTAAATGCTTTCTTTTTAAAGGTAAAGGGACCCCTGACCATTAGGTCCTGTCGCGGACGACTCTGGGGTTGCGGCGCTCATCTCGCTTTATTGGCCAAGGGAGCCAGTGTACAGCTTCCGGGTCATGTGGCCAGCATGACTAAGCCATTTCGGGCAAACCAGAGCAGCACACGCCGTTTACTTTCCCGCCAGAGCGATACCCATTTATCTACTTGCACTTTGACATGCTTTCAAATTGCTAGGTTGGCAGAAGCAGGGACCGAACAACGGGAGCTCACCCTCTCAGGGGATTTGAACCACCGACCTTCTGATCGGCAAGCATAACTTGGATAAGTATTTTATCTTAAATTATGGATATTTTTTTCAGCTGTGGTAATATATATGTTTCACAGGCAAGTGTTGAATACATGTCACACTTCAGGTTATTTTACTCACGTGTAAAATACCATTTTGAAAAACTGTTGCTTGGGAAATTATCCTTAAAGTGATATGAAAATGAAAAAGGAGTCTGTAAGGTGACATTTTCATGGAATTATCCAGTTCTCCAAGTATCTGCTGTTTGTGCATTTATAAAAATACAGTGGTACCTCGCAAGACGAATGCCTCGCAAGACAAAAAACTCGCTAGACGAAAGGGTTTTTTGTTTTTTGAGCTGCTTCGCAAGACGATTTTCCCTATGGGCTTGCTTCGCAAGATGGAAACGTCTTGCAAGTTTGTTTCCTTTTTCGTAACACCGTTAATACAGTTGCGACTTGACTTCGAGGAGCAACTCATAGATTGCGGTGTGGTAGCCTTTTTTGAGGTTTTTAAAGACTTTGGTGATTTTTGAAGCTTTTCCAAAACTTTCCCGACACCGTGCTTTGCAAGACAAAAAAAATCGCAAGATGACAAAACTCGCGGAACGAATTAATTTCGTCTTGCGAGCCACCACTGTATTCTGTTGTCCTTTTTCTCATGCAATGGAAACCCATTTACCAATGGCAACACTTTAACTTTGTGCTTTTCACAGCTGCATCACCAACTGGAAATATACAGTGGTACCTCGGGTTATATACGCTTCAGGTTACATACGCTTCAGGTTACAGACTCCACTAACCCAGAAATAGTGCTTCAGGTTAAGAACTTTGCTTCAGGATGAGAACAGAAATCGTGCTCCGGCAGCACGGCAGCAGCTGGAGGCCCCATTAGCTAAAGTGGTGCTTCAGGTTAAGAACAGTTTCAGGTTAAGTATGGACCTCCGGAACGAATTAAGTACTTAACCCGAGGTACCACTGTATAGAAGATAGTTTTTAATGTAATACCATACAAATAAAACCGAAGATTTGACTTAAAATTTAGGTGAGAAAAATCCATGCAGGAATTCAGAGATCTGCTTTAGCCACAACATTAATCCATAGTTTAAAATGAACTTTGGTTGAATGCACGCAAGTGCTTTGCTCCTCCCCAAGCCCTCACTATGTTGCATGGGAACAAGTCAGGTACATGCATTTTTTCAAGCCCTATTTATTTTTGCCCCACCCACCACTGGTATGTGGGCCCTGGAAGGTTGGGGAAGTTCCAATCCACCTCTCAGTCTGAAATAGTTCCCCCACCAATGTTCAGTATAATTTGGAAAATACTACACAATTTAATACAAACATGTCACTGTGATCATCAACAACTGGAAGAACTAATTTCATTATCAGACAACCCATCTCAATTTATAAATATAGTATTGAATTTGATCCCACTTTCAGCACATTTTTGAGGAACAAGTAAGCTACACTATATAACAATATACCAGCCATAAATTTCACTTCAGCATTCATACTTGAATAAGTGATTTATACAAGAAACCAAATCAGATCATAAACTCTTCCATGCATACCCTAACGAAGTTGGGATGCCAGAGTTATTCAGTGTAGTTTTTCCATCTACAGTTGTTTTGGACAGAAAATACATTCCTGTACAGCTGTGTTCATGAAAAAACAGCTATATTTTAGGATTTTTTAAATAAAAAAACCTCAAATAGAATGATCTTATCTTCCAATTTAATTCCAACTCCGCAGCCAAACCACAGTCTCACTCAAAATGCCAAGAAAACCATGAGTTTAGTTGATACACTATTTATTTAAAACTTTGTTTCTAGCAAGCAAGTACGATTACAATCAGAATTGTGATCACAAACTCATTATGTCTAAAATATCAAGAGCCAATATTAACTGAAAAGGCAGAGTTCAATCTCCAAGGACAATAGCCGCTGCGATGATGGGGATGAATTATTTAATTCTATATGTGCAAATGTGAATAAATACCAAACTCCACTTATAAAGGCTGGCAAGCTCCCAATTCTTATGGCTACCCTCCTTGTGTTTACAAAGGTAATCAGGAAAACCTTTCTGGAATGTTGAACAGTCTCCCTGCTGCCAGGCACAGCTGGAAGAAGTGCTACTGTGTACTCATGCAAGCCTATGAGTCAGGGCAAACTGGTCACTGAACTGCTTATGCAAGCAAAATCATAAAGTGAGCATAGGCCAAATATCTGCCTCAGAAAAATGTTACTGAAACCATTAGCTGCAGGCAGTCACACAACTGCTAAGGGAGCTGGGCATGTTTAGCCTGGAGAAGAGGAGGTTAAGGGGTGATATGATAGCCATGTTCAAATATATAAAAGGATGTCATATAGAGGAGGGAGAAAGGTTGTTTTCTGCTGCTCCAGAGAAGCGGACACGGAGCAATGGATCCAAACTACAAGAAAGAAGATTCCACCTAAACATTAGGAAGAACTTCCTGACAGTAAGAGCTGTTCGACAGTGGAATTTGCTGCCAAGGAGTGTGGTGGAGGTCTTTAAGCAGAGGCTTGACAACCATATCTCAGGAGTGCTCTGATGGTGTTTCCTGCTTGGCAGGGGGTTGGACTCGATGGCCCTTGTGGTCTATTCCAACTCTATGATTCTATGATTCTAACTGTATCCTGTCTTAACAAGCCAGGATTCGCGTGGGCTGCATAAAAGCACATGGAGCCCCTTCGCTGCCACTTCGCTCCTCTCTTCATGCTAGTGGTGACACGAATCTGGTAGCTGCAGTTAAACCATACATGCAAACACTACATGCAAACATGGACCATGGTTTCCAAACAAGCCAGATTTACAATCCAATTTAAAATCGTATCTCCGAGACCCTTTTTTGAGAAGGGGACACCAGACTGCACACAGCATTCCAAATGAGGTACAGAGGCTGTAATAATGCATCAGCAAAGAAGGAATGAATCACACCTCACTCAAACGTGTAAACTAATGGATAATGTAAATGTGGATGTTTGTGTAGACAAGCATTGTTTGCTCCTTATTTTCTGATAAATATTAAATGGAACATAAAAAGCAGAAACAGAACTAGTGAGGAGTTAAAATGTCAAATGGCTAGGACTTACCAGTCACCTGTTTTCTTAGTTTTTCGATTTCTTCTTTTAGGCTTTTAATTTCTAAATCTTTGCTTGCTGTTAATGGACCATCTACAGTTGAATAATGCAGGGCCTGGATTGTTTGCGTGGACTCTTTTTTAAAAAAAAGAAAGGGAGGGAAAGGGACACTTGTGAGAGACTGCATCCACAAGTTTCAATCCAGTTACTGAGCATATAGGAGTTATTGAACCTTGAGACCTCACATAAAATACTGCCCAAGGAATACCCAAGGCAGTGTCTATGGCCTGGTAGCTGTCAAAAACACATATCATCTGTTTCACATGCAGTGAAGAAAAAGAATCTTTAAAGGATCAATAAACATTTTCCTCACTCAAGATACCTTGGACTTTCCCCTTTTTCGAGAGCAAGAAAACAGCCCTATTCCCCTTGAGTGACCGGGAACATTAGGAACATGTGCATGAAACTGTCCAGATGTTCCCCTGTTACAGGAGCAAAGGATGGACAACCTGAAGTAAAAATAAGACCAAGTAACAGCGTTTGCACTGAACGTATAAAACAAGTACTGCTTATGCCTATTTAAGTCATGTAATGTGAAATCATGGTTCCTTATGTCCAGCAAAACAAATGATGCAATTAATTCTTCAAATCCTTTGTCACTTTATTATGATATATTAAGGTTTCTGCTAATGTCTCCTTTTCTTTTTTCACTTTCCTCCCTCTCTTGGAGTTTCACAAGTTTTGGTGGGAAGTCCTTTCCTCCTCTATACAGGACACTCCCAACCAAACAGGGGTTACATTCCAGGGATAGCATGCAAAGCCCAAATCATGCATAGTCAAAACACATTGTGTTCAATGGTGGTTGCGATTGCCTAAGTCCCTTTTCCCTAAGTCATTTATAGATATTTTTGAAAAATCATAAGACTACTAGTTCTTCAATTGGCTTCCAATGATCATTTTTACTAAGCTGTGACTATGGCAAACTTGGTAAGTTATTACTCATGTTATATATGGGTAATATATTCATTTTATCCAATGAATATATTAAATGAATTTAATTCAAGTAAATGATCAAAGATCCTTCTTATAGGAATACCTTGTAGTTTTCTGCTAAGTTCAAGTTTTTCCTGCTCCAGGCGCTTTATTCGCCTCTCATATGCTTCTGTTGCTAAGGTATCCTCAAGTGTCCTTTGAACGTTGGCATCGAGATCCATAGCCCGTTGCCCAGCTGCATATCTTAGACTACTGCGGTCTGAAAGGACACTGCGAAGATAGAAACATGAAAAAGCCAACTTGCTCATTATTCCAGCAGTTCAACTATTTTATCACATTACGATAATTTAATTCATTTTTTAAAAAACTGCATGCAACATTTGCAAATTACTCTAAATTACTCTAAAATACACATTTTTTTAAAAAAGTGGTACAGGTTCTGCCTATTTCACACATTATATAGTGCCAAACTTTGATTTGCCACTCCATGTATTCACAACAGGCAGTTGTACCAGTCATGGCATCCTGAAGAATGCACCTGTATGGTACAGTGTTTCCAAACACTGCTGATAACACATTACATTCTTAAACTTGGGTACAACCTACACACACTGACCCAAGAGAAATTTCCACTGAATTTAATGGAGCTTACTTCTGAAATCGTCCTGTATAGGACTGCAATATTAAAAACATTTTATGTGTACATCTAAATAATGTAGTGAATGACGTGACCTACTATGTAGGCTCTGCCCTATGAGTGCAAGCCACATTGTGTCATCAGATGATCAGTTCTCCGCATAGCTAAATAAATTGTGCCTGAACATTTTGTTGTGTCATTATGATCCAGCGAACTACTATTTCTCACTTCACTGAAGAAAGAAAGCAATACCTAGCCTCTTATTATATTTGTATTCAGCCATCGTTCAAGCAATAGGAAGGAAACAGAAATATTTTACATGTTTACATTTGAATTGGAGGAGAAATATGTCTGTTATCAACATTGCATTAGAATGCATGCTTTGTGTGACAACTGTAAATAAGATAAACTTGCCTTTTCCTAGATTAAAGTATACAAAGTCTCTTGAAAACCCAAGGCTTCTACTCACCAGCTACTTGTATATGTGAATCCTACAAAGGGCAGATGATGGCCAGAAAACGCAGTATGTGTTGGTGGGGGCATTGTCTCCTGTCGGACAAAAGCAAGTTAAATTTGATGTCATTAGTTTGCAAAAGCTGATATATTACATCTGAATCAACTGAGCACTCTTCCAGGGCAAACAGCAAATAGCCTTAGGATATAAATTAATAACAGTACCTTTCCCCTATTCTTGGTGGTTGCAATGTTACTATCCAGGAGCTGAAAAAAGCACCATAGAATTGATGCAGGTGTCTTTCCTGGGCCTTTATGATACTGCAGTCCCCTTTCTAGCCCAGGGCTTCTCATTCCCGGTAGCACTCAGCAATCAAAAGTAGAGAGGTAGATTGCGAAAAAGCAGCCTGAAGACTGCATGTCAATGGGGAGTAGTGGGACCAACTTTATGGAACTCTCTCCCAACAGAAATCAGGCAAGTACCTACTAAGTTTCAGGTGCCTTGTTAAATTTTTTAATTCCAGGAGGAATGGAACCCCAGAGAATGGGACTCTGATGTTTAAATTACTAATGTTTGATATACGTTTCATATTTTGTATGTTCTGTTTTTTTATTTTGTAAGCTGCTTTGGGACTCAGATGGTGAAATGAAGTATACATTTTTAAAATGAAAACATATATATTCTATATGCTTTTTCTCCTGGGAAGGCAAGCAAGCTTTTTTTAAAAAAAAATCATTGTTATTTTAAGCCTTCTTTGCAAGTCAGCATGCAACTAACACACCATTTAAAAATTTTAAAAAACAAACAGAAAGCCCCCTCAATTATGGTTTATTTTGTACTTCTTTCGGCTATAAAAACAGTAAGGTATCTTCTTGAAATCTAAAGTAATCTGATATAAATGCTGTATTTTGGGCGTATTCAGTCCAAAAAATGGGACTGGAAGATCAAAGTTTGCAGAAGTTGCTCTGGAGTAACTTACAGAATTCTTTAAACAATCATCATCTACATCAAAATTTGATGTATCTGTTGGACTGCTAACTTCAGGGATGTAAGGTGCTTCGCAGTTTCGAATGTTATCCCAGTCAATCCCGGAAAAAAATGGGTGGCCTTTAAAGTCTTCTATTCCATTCTGCCCAAGTCTATGCTCTCTGCTACAAATGAGTCTTCGAATTAGGTCCTTGGCGTTTTCAGACACATCCGTCATTTGGACAGGAAACTGAAACCTCTCCTTAAAGAAAAAAAGATGGGAGAATTAGGATCATACTGTGAAATAAAACAAAACAAAACTGTTCAGTGTTATAAATAGAACAGTGCCATATTTCCTAGTATTTCTATGGCAATTTCTTTATAATTGAACCAAGACAACAACACATGGTCCCCTCACTAATGTATGTGTTTATAAATGCAGCCTCAGTGGCTAGTAGGACTTCTTAAAGGAAAAACAGTGGCAGTATCTTTAATTCATTTCTACTGCTATTATTTTACAGTTAAATATGTTAATTTTGTCAAGCAAACACACTCCATTACTCAATGAATTATCCAATCACTTTCCAATAATGTTACACAGCCAAAATATATTCATATGTGGTGATTATAGGACTTCCACTATGTCCAAGCTAAAAATATCATTATAAAGTAAAGCCTGAACATCTGAGGTCAACAAAGACAGTACTCTAAGCATTGAAGCAGCTAAAAGCCAAGCCTATAGTTTATTGAAGCTAATATATTCTCTTGGTGAAACAATCAATGTTAACATCTTAAGGACAATAAAGCACTGAGCAGAATTGCTGGTCATCTGTTCACAAATACTGCCCCACTCACTTTGTGGTTCATTATCTTTCCATATGTCTCCACCAGGGATTCTGCATAAAAGGGTGTTTCACCATAAAGCATTTCATACATGCAAACACCAAGGGACCACCAGTCACATTCAGGACCGTACTTTCCTTTCCCATCTTCCATGGCTTGCAGGATTTCTGGAGAGATATAATCTGGTGTTCCAACTGCCACTGAAGACTGAACCTGAAGGGACAATAAATTCTATTACTAAAATGATCTATAATATTATGTGTGTTTCTGTACTGTTGTGAATATATATATTTCTGATTTGATACGGCTACTGAGGACCCGAATGGCTATGCCCCTTGTCACGCAACGGAGAACCTATCAAATCTACGCTTCAGGTAAGATCAGTCATTCTTTTCATGTGGTGATTTGCCCAAGGAGATGAAAATAAAGGAAGTAGCTTGACAGCAGGCCATGGGAATGTTACAGGCAACACAAGTCTTTAATAAAACATTTTCCCCCCCATTACAATATTTACTTAAAAGCAGCATTCTTATTTAGTTCCCAACACTTGAAGTGAAATGCTGTGTGTGTCTGTATTCCTATAGTCTTGTACTGTATTTCTTCCAGACAATGTCAAACATTTTAGGAGTCTTCCATGCCAATGAATCTTTTCATTAATGTCAATCGGTCCACTTTGAGTAAAATTTAATTGAATACCCCAAATTCTGTAAGATTCTGCATTTAAAAAGATACAGCAAATAAGCTTCACTTCTCCTGGCATGTATTTATTTTACAGATATACTGTATATAATTACAGATAGCTATAATGAATGAAATAGACAGAGGACTGAAGTAATGAAATTTATTAAACATTAATGGACAATAATGGTGAAAAGTGAATCAATCTAATCAATTAGTCACCCAGATAAAATGTGTAATTACATTACCATAAAACTATAATTTTTACAGAGGTACCGTATATATTAAGAAATATATCAGATAAATTATCAAATATATTATCAAAAATTGTAGTGGCAGACTAGGGACAGAAATGAAGGTGACTAAAACTATATTTTAGCTTTGTTTTTATTATTATTTACCGTTCCATCTTCCATCAGTTTCAGACAAGAACCAAAATCTGCTAACCGAATATGTCCATTCATATCCATCAGGATGTTGTCTGGTTTGATGTCCCTGTAAAAGAAATTTATTTGAGTCATTCCATGTTGTTTTTCATTATATTGAGACAAGTGCAATAAAACATTTTGCATTCAAAATTATTTGTGTATCATTTTGGAGACAAATGAGACTAAAACGTATTTCTCTGAGGGGTCATCATCTGATTAAAGAAATCTTAGGTCAATTAATTATATAGCATTTTATCAATTAATACACCATCAATTTAAATGTGCATTGAATTTTTCATATGACGTTAAAACAACAGTTCTGAACAACTTTTTTATTTTTTGAAAAAAGATGATACTTGCATGTGTCACAATAAGCATAACCTTAGAAGGAGCAATCCTTCAGAAGTCACCTGCAGTTCCATAAATGCTTTATTTTTATTTTTTTAAAGTAAAACGTTAAATAAAATTTGCTGCACAATTAATTGGAAGCATCCTTCTGGTTGATCAGAGCTATGGCAAAGAGGTTCTTCCCACATGTTTCTAAGCAGAAAAAACATGTAATTGATTGGACTGCCCTTCAAAGCAATCCCAGGATGAAACCTTGCACCCCAACTGTTATTATGAGGCCTAACTAGCTTATTACATATGTAACTTTTGGCAAAATATTCTATTATTAAATAAAATTTGTTCCTAAAGCATGTACTTTTCTTAATACTAAATTCTTCTGACCAGACTTTATTCTGAAAATAGTGAAGTATCTGCTTTATGGTATCTGGCTTTCTTTATGAATTTAAAATACTAACAAAGCAAGCAATAACACACAACGGGATATACATTCACCAGCCAACATACGCACGCCTTGGGCGTGCTCAGTTACTGGTGTTTATTCATAAAAATACACACACACACTGTACAAATCTTGGCCAGGGAATGCATGCCTCGTCATGTTTCACTGCACTTACAAAATAGTCTCTTGAAAAAATACCCTAGTTTAATATACAAAAGGGAAAGGGAGGGAAGTATAAGGAGAGGTTTTGTTAGATGCAGGTTATATATAGACATTCCTATACTTCTAGCTACATGTATGTTCACTTTTATTGCACCCATATCCATAATGGATAATTGATTCAAAAGTTGTGGCTTATTTATAATTATTCCTACCAGAAAAACTGATTTAAATCCAGACTAAAAAAAACACACAGGGATGCTTTCAAGTACGTTTTACACAGAGTACACCTATAGGAATTAATAGACCTAATTTAGTCATATTAAATAATTTCAGTGGGTCTACTCTGCATAAAATTTAGTTGACTATCAAGTCTGATTATAAATCCATTTGTCTGGTAACAATGAGCATAAGAATTGAGTGAGATAGATAATGTACATAACTTTTGAATCCCTTATCAATGACCTGGAAAATTGTGCCCAGCAGGGGAAATGTACATGTATCTTGAGTTAGAGGAACTAACATATACAAACAACTTCCTAATAATTTGTCTTATTTGTCCTGTACCTTTGCACATTCCTAGATGTCATCACATACCATGAAATGCAAAGTCTTCCCAACAGTTAGCATCCCTTGCTCCAACCTGCTACACTTCTCTAGTTTCAGAATCCTCCTCTGAACACCCAGGGAAAAAATGTTCAGCCTGCTTCCCCTACTGCCCCTGTTGCCATCACACTGGTTTTACACTATGGTTGTTGTTTTTTTATGCCTCCTCACACTGCCCCACAGGGGCCTGGGACTTGTCTACACTGGCGGAGGAAGAGGGGGGCAGGGGGAGCGCACCGCCCCCGGCAGCACGATCCCAGTGGGGTTCCATCGTGGCTGCCCCCCGCCCGCACTGGGCGCCCTGCCGGCGGCGCACCCCGCCCCGGGACGTGTGCCAGCCCTGCCCCTGCCTGCTCTCTGCCCCCGGTGCCGGAGCATGAAGCCCCGCCACTGCTTGTCTATCCATTCCCAACAGCAAGGGCAGGCGGACTGACTGGCTGGCTGGGTTCCCTCGCCCGCTTGCTTGCTTACTCTGAGGCTGCCTCAGCTCCTGGCAACCAGCACAGCCTGGTGAGCCCCAGAGGCACCATTTGCCTGTGGAGCTTATAGCCAGAGGCTGCTGCAACAAACACCTGTGAAAACCTTTGGGAAGCAGAGGTGTGAGAGGGCATCAGAGGAGGGAGGGAAGGAAAGAGGGACAGAGGTCAGTGTTGCCCGTGACATCCTTGACTGTTTTCTAATTCTCATTTAGATTTTATCATCAGGTAGGGCAATGCACTGCAAAATTCAACCACCACGTCAACTCAATGAATACTGATTAGGCCATGTGAAAACCATACTGTTTGATAAAAGAGGGGTGGTGCTATTGTAACCAAAATTCATTCTGAGGAAACAGGTTGAATTTAAGAACTGCAGGAAGCACCAAGGGAAATTAGTAAACATGTTACCAGCTGATCCAATTTGTAAAGCTCAAGGAGTAGACAATTGTAAGGAAATGAGATAAATAATCTTCAGCTGAAACATGACAAATTGCAACAATTATGGAATACTATTCCAATGCTCTGGAGGTTAGCACGCCATTCGTTAATCAAAGCTAATCCTGAATTACAATGTTTAATTATTTGCAGGGCTTCCGTTTCTATTCTGTGTTTCCACAAGATGGTGATTGCATTTTTTCAGAAGTCTCCCAATCTAATTTAAAGTACAGTAAATAACAAACTTATTTTGCAAACCTTAAGTTTCATTAGTCAAACGCAGTTTCCATTTCCTTTAGTTTGTTAGAAAACATGTGCTCCATACAATCACCATAAACAAGATCATATTATTGCTCTTACGGAAATTTTGTTATGATGTGTAAAAAAGAAAGAAAATGTGGTCTGTCATTTTCACAAAAGCTGTTTATCAAACTAAAACCACACAAACCCCACCCTAAAGTCCTAAAATAATTCCATTACTCTTGCCAAGAGCTTCACATTAGCAATGTGGGCATAGGCAGTACTCTACAAATTCCTGCTATAACCATTCTCCTGTTAAATGAAATGAGGTCTCACAAAACTTACGAATATTATATTTAAAATATGCATACCATGCCTCTCTACTAACAAACTTCCAAAGGTGGCTTACAAAATCAACGTAACACCATTAACAATAAAATCCAATTAAGACAATTGAAAAAAAATCAATCAAACCGTAAAATCCAATTTAAGGAAACAGCAGCAATAGGGGGGGAAACACATTATGAACCCTTAACGTGTCCCTCAAGTCTCCTTTATGAAGGCAGGAGCTAGAAGGAAGTTTACTTGAGGTATTTTTTTGTCTTGCTCTAAAAACTTCTCACATGCAAGTCAAGAAATAACCACACTATCTAAGCCTAAATTGACTCAAAGCATTACTGTATGTGATCATGTAAGATCACCATACAGTTGTACCTTTAATCCCAAATGCCTTGGTAATCAGACATTTTAGCTCCTGAATGCTGCAAACCCGGAAGTAAGTGTTCCAGTTTGCAAATGTTCTTTGGAACCCAGATGTCCGACGGGGCTTCTGATTGGCTGCAGGAGTTTTACAGGGACATGGGTGGCGCTGTGATCCAAACCAGTGAGCCTAGGGCAGGGGTCTGCAACCTTTAAGACAAAAAGAGCCACTTGGACCCGTTTCCGAAGGGGGGAAAACTGGGAGCCGCAAAACCGGGAAGTTGATGTCAGGACGGTGCGTGACTAACGCACGCACCGCCCCCATGCGACGTCACAGCCAGTACAGCGCCCGCCACAGTGGGGAGTGTCAGGGCACACAATGTGCCTCCTCCCCTCGCTAGTATTCACCCCGGAGCCGCGGCAAAGGTGTAAAAGAGCCACATGCGGCTCCGGAGCCGCAGGTTGCAGACCCCTGGCCTAGGGCTTGCTGATCGGAAGGTCGGCGGTTCAAATCCCCGCGACAGAGTGAGCTCCCGTTGCTCAGTCCCAGCTCCTGCCAACCTAGCAGTTCAAAAGCACGTCAAGTGCAAGTAGATAAATAGGTACCGCTCCAGCGGGAAGGTAAACGGCATTTCCATGCGCTGCTCTGGTTCACCAGAAGCGGCTTAGTCATGCTGGCCAGAAGTTGTCTGCGGACAAACGCCGGCTCCCTTGGCCAGTAAAGCGATATGAGTGCCGCAATCCCAGAGTCATTCATGACTGGACTTAATTGTCAGGGGTCCCTTTACCTTTACCTTACCTACTTCTGTGATTTAACCTTCTGCATTTCGTATAACAGCCATCTATACAGCCTGGCTGCAATGGTGGGAGTATTCTTGCTTTTCAAATGTGTACAGCTGCCCAATATTATTCTTGATTTAGCCATCCTGCGTGCTGTCTTTCAAGCTAGGCTCTGCATTCCTCAAAGGAAATTTTACACCAACAATATGCTCCAGAGGATTCACCCATTTGATTCAGCAATTTAAAGGATTATGGCTTTCAAGTTACAGTTTCCATACTGTGGTGCAGATTCTAAAATGCAATTTATAGGATGCCTGGCTTCTACAATCTTCCATATAAATAAATTAATACATATTTTTTAACATGCAGACTATAGCATGATGTGTTGCTATAACATCATAAAAGGAGAAACAGGCAACGCAAAGTCTATGCTGCCTTCCCCAAACTGCTGTTCTTCGGATATTTTGGACTACAACTTCCATAACCCCTAATCAGAATTGATAATGGTCAGGGGTGGGAGTGGAACACATAATGTAAACTAGAGGTCCTACACCGCCTACCTCTGAATTACGAATTGTATAAAGGTAAGCAAATGAATTAAGGTAATTGAATTACCCATGTAAATATTTATTTCCAGACTGTACAGAGTTCCAAGAGAAAACCTGGTAGTAGCAAGGAAAAGAAAAGGAAGACAGAAAAACAATCAGAAAAACTGGTAGCATGAAGTATACTATGAAGCTGGGTTGGTAAGTCAACCATGGTTAGGATACAAACCTTGTTATTGAAAATATAAGTATTGTAGACAACTTGTTAATACCACTAACACAAGTCTGTAGCATGGTTTAAAGATTAAATAATTAAAGTCTGCTAAGTATAAGGCTA